AAATGCTGATGTTTATTATTTGCATCAATTTTCTCAAACCTGCATTTCTATTTCTCGAGTTCTCTTCTGTTCACGGTTTATGAATGCGTACCTTAAATTCTGCAATACATTTTCACATGAAAAAGAAAATCCACAAAAAAAGAATAATAAAAAAACACTGACTAGAGAGTGTCGATGTGAGAAGTATTCAGACATGTCCCGGTCAAATAACCATCTACAATTTAGGACCTCTGAAAGTAAAATAAGACTTATAATGAAATGTTATGGCCTTAAATCAAATAATCTAATGTAAGACTTTAGGAACACACAGGAACGCTGTTTGTTCAAACTTTTCACAATGTACGGGTTTAGCTGTATACCTTCCATATGGACTTATTTTTCAATTTCTGAAATAAATAACAATCATCATGATAGAAAGCAATGTTAAACAGGCCAGATTAAGTTCTTATCATGTACGCAACACATTTGACTATCACTTAAACTGTCAGTAAAACAGCATACTATAACACAGATAGGATATCCTACTTAACTCTATTTTTTAGTATCTATCTATTTTTTGTACATTCTTAATTTTTCTTTTTCATATTTAAATTGTACTGTGTTCACTTTTTGTTTGCAATCTTTGCTCTTTGCTGCTGTAACAATGTAAATGTCCACGTTGTGGGATAAATAAAGGATTATCTTATCTTATTTTAACAGATTATTAACCAGATCTTCTGATAGTTGTTCCTGTTTCCATCTGACAACACTGCAGCCTGTAGGCTACTACTTCTCTAAAAGGAAGACCTGCGAACATTACACAAGCCAAAAGTATGTTGTTTCCCAATGTTGCTGGATCTCCATGTTTCTTGTTGCGATGATGCCAAACACCAGAGTTGTTTTGAAAGACTAAAATGAACGTTTCAAAATCTGTGTTGGCTTTCGAGAGCCCGTGGGTTGCATTCCTAACTCAGTGAGGAAAAAAAAAAACTGGGATTGATGAGGATGTTTTTCAGAGTATCGTGTCTCTGAACGTTCACTCAAACAAAACCTGTCCGGGATCCTGTTTCACACCTTAACACTGCTTGTTTAACACCGCTACTTGCTTTTCTTCTTATATAACAGGTCAATATCAATCTTTCTTTTGCTGGGTGGGTCTATATCTATCAAATATTAAATTGTTTTGTTTTTTTACGCTACACCATATCTAGCCAAAAAAACGCTGTAGATGAATAACTGCAAGGATCTGGATAAAGTTTTGTGACGCATTTCCCAAGGCGCATTATCAGCGATTTAACAAGGCTAAATAACAAGTTACATGTTGGGCTGCCTGAATGTCGAGAGCCTGAAATCTTCATGGAAGCACATAACCTACTGTAACATTATAATTCTTAACACTATGAGATTGTGTTTGAGTTTTCCGTACTTGTTGGAGAGGGCGACAGTGTGCCGTTCGTCCCAGGCTTCGACTTGGTCCTCTTGATGGTGTGCACCTGGTCCAGCACGCGCTGCTGTCCCGAGCGCAGTTTGTGATCGTTTGGCAGCGCGAGCGACGTGTCCTCGCGGCTCCTCATGCTCATCGCCGACCGCAGTGGCTCGTGAGCCATCGTCTTCCCAGCTTGGTGCCCGACCCGTGAACGACTTGATTTAAAAGAGTTATCAAAAAAGAAGTTCAGACCTGGAGGAGGAGTAGGAGGAGCTCGGGCTCGACTCAGCGCAACGGACTCAGCGAACGTGCCAAGTATGCAGATAAGCTAAAAGTGTTCCCAGAGTAGAGGCGGTGAGCTCCACCCTAGGGACCGCGCCCCATCGAGGTGGGACCGAAGAGAGGTCACATACAGGTGCTGAGGGAAGGGTTGGGTGGAGGCAGACAAGCAGAGCCTGCATTGACGCTTACAGCAGGGTGTGCAATTGCTGCACAACTGTGCTGCAAGAAATAATTAACATGAATACTTTGTACATCATAATAGAATATTGCCTACCAGTTAAAGTAGGCCTACCATTTAAACTCGATGACCTACATTAAATTCAGACATCATAAAATTGTACATATACAGTACATGTTTTTCCCACTTTGACATTCCATATTGTGTTCTAAAAAAGGCCCAAATAATGTAAAATTACCTTCGGCCAAATAACAGGTTGCAAAAATACTTGTGTCATATCTATGCTACATTAGTTACATTGCTGTAAACAACTTCTATTTGTTAAAGGGCCCCAAACAAGCCATCTTCAAATTGCCCGTACTGTGATTTATTTATTTGAATGTATTACTTTTGCCTTTATTTAATAGGATAACTGAAGGGAGACAGGATATAGTGATAAAGAGAGAGGGGGATGACATGCAGCAAAGGGCTGGGGTTGGATCAGAACCCACGGACGGCCCTTGTGCTTTTGATTTTGACTTAGGGCAACTTAATACTGCATTGTAATAATTAAGCAATGTACCTGTATTTTGCATATTTATTCAAGTCTGTTTTCCTTTTATTAAGTCTTATCCCACCGTCATTTCATTTCAGTTTCCACCATGTTTTTAAACAATACTGCCTTGACGTTTACTTAAATTCTTGGATTGCAAATTCTTTTTTTTGCCAAAGCTATCACAGTATTTACTGCTTACCTGCACAACAAAATGAATTAAAATGATTCACTCTCACTGACATAGCATATGACCTGAATGAGTTGCTTACTGTTTTAGTTTAACAAACAAGGTTTGGTGAACTACACCGCCCCCCCCACCCAGCCCCACCCCTCATCCCTAATCCCCATCATCACCATCATTACTGACCTCACTCTCCACTCGAAACATCCAATTTACCTTTAAATAATTGCCTTTTTTTCAAGAGGAGATAGAGGTCAGAGAAGAGTTGTTATAAGTCAAGGGGATGACAAAAAAAACGGGCAAAAAAAAAATAATCAGAGCGAGAAGTAGAGTGATAAGTGACGTGAAGAAAATACAGAGAGAGAGAAGGAGGAGATTATACAAGATTGTGCTTTCTGCATAACCGGATTGTTTTGGCTAAGTTTCTGCAGGTGACATTTTCCCACCACACCCTTCGCCCTAACACTAAGCTAATAATGAAAATCATGTGTGTAATGTTCCTGTGAAGTGTGTGCGTTTACAGCAACATAAGTTAATGTGTGTGTGGGGGTGGGGGTGTGTGTGTGTGTAGAGAAACTCATCCAGATGACTACATCTTGAATAAAATATCTGACAAAGAGAAGAACATGAGTAAACATGTGTTTTGTAAACTGACCGAGGAAAACAATCCAAGCAGAAGAGATTATATCAACAGAAAAATAAACTGTTGCTTGATAGGAGTTGCTGATTAAAAATAAACAAATGAGAAGTAGCTTGTATCACATTTTACTGATCACTACATGAATTAAAAAAGTGTCAGCGTTAGTCTATGACCCAATAAATTACCAACTTTTAAAAATGAGATGCAGTCATTAGCAACCTGTTAAATATATTTGCTGTATTTTTGTACTGATGTGATGTTGGCAAGCTTACAGGGTAAGTACCACACCCAGCCCGAGGGCTTTGTGTATGTGTCACTGTTCACAACTTGCAATTTCGCCAGCATGGTGTTGATGAGCAGACAGATAAAACTCTGACTTTTTTCTAACAGTGTAGGTAACTCTTAGATAAAGTTACATACAAAGTAATATCCAATAGTTCTTAAAAGGTTAAAACATTTTCTACTGATGTAAATCACCTGTGAACACTCAACACTTTGAGTTGTCAGTGCTGAAAAAACACCTCAAAGTTTCAAGCAGAAGGCACGGAGAGCGAACATTGCGACTAACATATGAAAGTATGTGAAGTCACACATCAGGAAAAGCACTCTTATCGCTTACATTTTGCTGTGTATGCCTTGGATGGTTGCCAAAACATCTTCCACAAACAATATATCTCATAAAAGATCAAGAAGTTGGAAGTTTCATTGGGAACTTCCAGGTGTACTTGCCCACACTGCTAGCACAATGTATGGGTACTGTATTGGAGGAAGATGATTGAATATTAAAGTAGTGGAAGGACAAACACTTCATGTGATCTGGATTGACAAGGACAAGCCCTGTTGATAAATGTAAACCTCTGCCAGAGAAGCTACACAGTATAGTATATATAGGGTATACAGAGCGTATACTGTAGTAGAGGTTGACACAAACATGCTTAAACCTACAACATAATTTTTATGTCAATGTACTGCCTATACCAGTGACTTCTTTCAAACTCTAATCAGATGTCAACAGATCTGTGTAATTTGATAGTGAGAGATTTTACAACTACACCGCATGGCATGTAGTAATGTAACTATATGGTATGTGTGTGACTAAGAAAGGGGCATACTGATTGGACGCCTGTATTATGTATGAAAAGAAGGGCAGAGCTTTAACTTGACGGCGCTTTTGATGTCACTCACCTCTCAGAACTCAAAGATAAACTTTAACTGTAAAACTGAGGTGACACCACCACCTAGCAGGTGAAATGAGAACTGCAGACTATGAGAAATGAGGCAAGTGTTTATAACTTATATTCAACATAAAAAGTTAATTAAACTGACAGGTGGATGTAACACTATGGAAAAGTTGACCCACTGGAGTGTTAATTCTGAGAGTAAAGAGGCACTTAAATGGGAAATTAAGTCATTTATTTCTGCAAGGTAGGACATGGCAACACGTCAGCTGTTGAAATCCTATCAGGACTAGGGTTTTATATTAATAGTGGTGCTATAGTGACAATTAAAAGATATATTTTTACTAACAAATTGGGGAAGTGTTGCTTCTTCTACATAGGACCTGTTAAAAAAGCTTTACTAGATCAAAAATATAATTAATCCTGGACAGTCTTCGTACAATACTCATTATGAACTATTTTTTATCTGACAACCTTAAACTCAAGTCTGTCAATTTTGGTCTGGGAAAATATGGTGGTTATAAGTTGTTGTTTTTTTTAGATGGTGATCTCCTCTTTGTGGAGCTGTCAAAGTGTTACTATGAAAAGTCTAAAGGCTCCATGTTTCTGCAAACACCATGTGATTTTATTGGTACAGCATAAAGGCACAGATTTAATCCACTGAGTATACTTGACCAAAGGAGTGATGAGACACCGCCATCCAGGATACAAAGACAAAAAAAAAAAAAAAAGAATACAAATCTTGTCAGACCACACAGTGAATATTATTTAAATTCTACCAGCTGGTGCTTGGTTTACATCAATCATTGTCACCTTCTACATGGTTTAACATAATCCTGCCAGAAGAAGGTGTAATAGTCGCATAAAAATTTCTATAAAAAATGACACACTGGCAGACATGTGTATCAGTATGCACAATCATTACAAAGAACAATAGAGAGAGGAAAAAAAAGAGTAAGCTGGATAATTTGCTAGTGTTATCAGGCGAAAATGTCCCCCAGTGCACTGTGGGCGACCGTAGTGTAATCCGTACCATACATTATTTAGCATACTAAAATGATAAAAACAGAAACACTATCATGTGTGACATTTAGAGTAACACTTCTAGCTGTGGTGGAAATACAAAATAATAGTCAATCTTTACAAAAAAATGAATCCATTTAACTTGTTTTGGCTTATAAACAGTACCATCACAAGTGTAGTGTACACATCCTATACATCAGTGCTCCAAAGGTTAAGGCTTTATGAGCCAAAGCACATTCTTATCCCAGCTCACGTGGAGGTAGAAATACTGCAGCAAGCCCACACAGTAATAACAGTATTGTGTTGATGAACAGTAAAGATCATTCTTTCATTCAATATGCTGCTGAGACCCAAGTGTAAACTGAATCAGGTTGTGGACCATTTTTGTTTCTAAATACAAGTGAGCCGAATTAATAAACACCTCCTTGAGATTTGGATCTTTCCCTCCACGCTCTGTACCACTGAAACCCTTTAAAAACAGCAAATGCACCCAAATAATGGATCTTTTTTTTTTTTTAACACTCTGACGTAGTGTATTAAACATAAATACGGCTTTAACGTCTTTACATGTAGTGCATTACATTCCCTAATAGAGGCACACTCGTATGTTCCGTCATGTGATCACAAGGAGCTGAGATTAGAGCAGCTGGACATCGTGATAGCACAGTAAGCAGTGAAAGAGGATACGCCATTATTGGCTCATTCAATTCATAGCTAACAGAGATGCTACAAACTGTAGAAGAGAGAGTTACATTAACACTGATTGATTTGTTTGCCAACCTATCTTCAAACTCGTCTCACATTAGTCACACCTATGACTTAAATGCATATGCTTGTGAAAACATAACTTTTCTTGTTTTTTTAGTAAACAGCTGCATTTCCATTATAAAAGATGGAAGTAGACAGATTCACTTGAGTACATTAAATTTAGCCATTTTGCTGGTTACTACTTTAGACTTGTGTCAGTGAACTTAATTTGAGCTCCATCACACACTGTTGCTACGCCACACATCTGGAGTACCATTACGAACTTCAACATTAAATTGAGATCCTCTGGTCGAGGTCTTTGTCTGTTCAAAGTGTCAGACTGAAAACTACAGCAGACCAAGCATTTGTTGTCCGAGTCTTTAAGACTCTTAAGACAATCTGTCAAAGAAAATCCAATCAACTGAGTCAGCAATTTCTTAAGTCCCTTTCTAAAACATACTTCTATTGGAGATATCACCTAAACTTTATCAACAAGCTGTGTGCAGTTCTAGGTTTAAAAAATATAATCACGTGCAGTTAGTCCAATAGACAGATTAACAGCATTATTACGCCTGTTAGTGCTGTTTATACGTCTTAACCTGTAGAATATGTCCAAGAAATAAACATACTCAAAAGTGCCTCTGTTTCAGGTTTCTTTCCTAACCAAATATACAATTCAATTTGTATGAAACAGGTCACACCCTGTGATTATCTAAGGTAATAATGGCAAATTTAATGTGAAGTGAACAGGCTTGAAGTACTTGCTCCCCAGCAGTGTTGCAGCTGACATGTTGCCCCTGTGGACACTGAGACTGTGTGCGCAGCAGCAATAACACTGCTTCATGATCAAAATCTATGTAGATAGGTTTAAAATGTTTAAGTCATGGGGTGGTTCAAAATAGTGATGGAAAGGCATACACTTCCAATAAGGTGTGACTACAGTGTGACTGTTGGTCTGTGAAAACAAATATGTGTTTATAGTAGAAACGTAAGGATTCTGTGTGTTTGAGCTTAAAATAGTGTTCATGCTGTAAAAAAAGAAGTTTTTGGAGAGTCTCTGCATGCACGTCAAGTGCTGCTAGTCGTTAACTAGTCGGTACACGTGGTACTGTGCTCCGTGTTCACTAGTGGACACTTCAAAGACAAAGGCGATGCACAGTAGAGTCTCCTGAGTTTCTCTGTTAGACACCACCTAACAAGAGGAGAGAGAAGACGTCAACATTTGGAAATAAGGTTTCAAAAATCAAATCATACAAAATGACAACAGGCAAGAAACAGAACAGTGGGAAATGATAAAAGTGCATGGGAGTGCACACATACCTGTAGGATGGTGAAATTCTCCAGTACACTGTTCATCATGTAATTCTCAGGCAGGTGTTTGAGTTTGTGGATGAAGTTGATCATATATTCACACATGGGGGAGCGATGGATGCGGAACATATACTTTCCTCCTTCCAAATGTGCATATTCAGTCTGAAAAGGGGTTAACCAAACATTAACATCAAAATTAAACCATATATACAAAATACAGAGATGAAACCTTTTAAGCACCTAAAAAATGATTCTTACCTCAACCTTCTCTACCACCTGTTTGCCAAAGGAGCAGACCTTTGTTGAGACACTGATGGTGATGTTTTCACTTCCACTGTACTGGCTGCTCACTCCGTAGAACACGCCAGAACCTTCCTCAATGTCACTACTCAGGTCCGCCTAAAACACAAGACACAATGGTTGACTATGAGAAAATGTGTGTTGAAAGAACTAAAGAAAAATAATGAGGTAGCCACTAGCCAGTACCAAAGACAGATAAACTCCACATGTTACAAAAATTCCCGAACAATAAGAACACTGGTAATGTTTACTGACCCAGAACTTAACGAGGAAGAAAGCGTTGTGTGGCCCTTTCTCATACAGCTCCTTCAGGCCTCCTTTTTTCTCAGAGAACTTGTCATAAATCTGTCTCACATCTATGGACTCCAACACAGGGTCATTGTAGCCTGGATTCGATGGGCCGATGTGTACAAAAAGGTGTTTATACTGTAAGAAGGAAGGAAAAGGGATGACAATTTGACAACATAAAATGTTGTTTCACATGCTGTTGAGATGTCTAGATTTTTTACCGTTTCCCGGTCTCTCTGTCTCTCCATAAAAGCTGAGAACTCCAGTAGCCGGAGTTTTGCAGAGGCAATGGTTCTGTCTTGCCATACAGGCGCCGCTATTGCTGCAGGGCGAGGGGGAGGCAGGGCCTCGTAACCTGCCAAACATTCAGAACATAATTAATGAAGCATAACCAATAAAAGATACTCAAAATGGCGTTCATACATACTGATAGGTGCAGGGACAGGGGCTGGTATTGTAGTGAAAGGCGGCTGTGCGAAGGGCTTGATGCTGTAAATAGGAAGAGTAGGAACCAATAATCAGCAACTTTACCAGTTGAAGTATACTCTTATATTTAAACAAACATATAACCATTAATACTTACTCCTGAGAATGTCCAGGCTGTCCTGGCAAAGGGCCGGGCCAAAACTAGGAAAAAGGAAAGAAGGGAAGCAGTTCAGATTGTCATACTCAGACATCGCCACACAGGGGAGAAAAGAACAGATGTGTGGGTGTTTTTGTGTGTGTCTCACTCTAACTGGTGGAGGAAACGGAGTCTGGGCTTTCATCACACTAGCAGACACAATCTGAGCAGATGAGAGGTTGGCTACTGTCTGCAGAGCCTTGTCTTTGGATACCTGGTCCTGATAAGACAGAGAAATTCACCATGAAAATGCTCTATCTTAAAACAAAGAAAAAATAAAGTAAAATCTAGGTTAATATTCGAGAGTCAGCCAACCTCCAAGGCCAGTTTAGACAGCAAGCCAGCCAACATATTATACAGTATTTCAGCATGATGCAGTGACTATGAGGGAAGACAGCATAGAGGGCAAAGCAGATAAAGGGGGATGCCAAAGCAGGAGGCACACCAAGCTAGCAGGCTAACAGAGCTAACAGGAGCCATCACCAGTATTCAACTAAAGCCACTATAAAAAAAGAGTAATGAGCAGGATTGTTCAAGTCTGGCAGTGGAACTGCAGTGTGGAATAGCAGTAATGTGATGCCAACCACAAAGCACAAAGCCTGAAGCAGAAAACTGTAGTTGATTAACCAAAACTTACCAAGTTCATGGCCTATGGCAGAGAAGACACATTATTAATTACCTTCAATACATTCAAAATGAAAGCAGGTCAACGATTTACTGTTAGGGTAATGAGGGAAAACACTTGGCTTACTCTGACTACATCCTGAAACAACAATGACAGCAACATTCACTTAACCTGTACTGATGTTTATCCAGAATATATACTGGCCTGGAAATATGACAAAGTTGCACTGTCTAAATGTGGTGTCAAGACAACCTCTGTCTTTGACATACAATTATATCAGAAGGAAACTTTATTACAAGGCATGTTAAAACCACATGAAAACACCTTAAACAGAAAAGATTTAAAGGACTGAGGGAAGTGTCTTAAGAGCAAGAACGTCGAAAAACAGAAATGATTTAAAAGAGAAAACCTGAAATTGTCCATATGTTCATAGAGGGGCGCATTCAATGATCCTGTTATATGTGTGTGTATGCATGCATTCATATCAATTACTATAGCCACATAGCACATGCTTAGGTCAACAAAGATTACAGTATGCACCTATCTGTCAAACGCCACATGCCTCTTGAACCTCTTGTAAATGTAAACAACGAATGCTCATGCATGCCAAAGTTAGTAACAGAGATCCCCAAGACCAATCCTTTCTTTCGATGTTAAGCAGATGACTCACAGTGGTACTTATCAATGATATGAAATCAATCAGTTAAAAATATGCCGTAGTGACCTAAAGTCCTGGATGACCCGCATTCTTCTGCTGCTTATGTCAGATAAACTGAACTTCTTGTTTGTTCCTCTTAACAATTAATTAAGAAAATATCTTCTGATGAAGGAATGCTAAGTAGCATAACCATGCTTAAGAAACACTGTGAGTAAACTAGGAGAGGTTATCTTTGATCAGTACATGTCCATCCACTCCTATGTAAAACAGATATCGCAACTATCGTGTTTCCAGCTACATTACGTTTTTAAAATCATGCTAATACTCTGACAAAGATTAACAAGCTTTTCAGCTTTTTTTTTTTAAAATTGTTTGTTTGACTGAATATTTGTTTTCATGAGGCTGCCCTTACAGGTTTCTAACTCATGGCTAAAATGCCGCAGTTAAAAATAAATCACGATTGATTCTCTTTTATGAAGCCCAGCATTGACAGGAACCATAACATATTAAAGAGCGTCTATTGACTTTTTACCCCTCTAGAACAATCAGCGCTCAGGCTTGATTGGAGTAAGTCTCCAAAAATAGTATGGGAGGCAGAGCCTTCAATTTTCAGGCATCACTTTCATTAAGCCATCTACCATTTAAAAAAAAGTAACAAACTTTATTGTTCCATCATATTTAAAGATGAGATCAGAACCCGTTTCTATCACTGATGTATCTTGTTGCTTTCTGTCTTTTCATCTATCCCTCCCACTCTCTGAGCAGTCAGGGCAGATGCTGATCCACTTATCAATGTGGTTCTGTTCTAGGTTCCAGACTGCCATTACCTAGAGTTTACATATAGTGGAATTTGATGGTCTGTTTAATGTTTGTTAAGAGTATGATACAGACCTGCTCTATGTGTGAAGTGTTGGGAGGTGACTTTGTTGTTATTTTGTACCGTACAACCAAACATTTATTGAATGATTAAGACTAGGTCAACAGTACTGCCAGCCACTGTCATGCATTATATATATATTATTATATCTACAAAGACCTTATAAAAGCATCACATTCATCACATCTGGTGTTTGAACTGACAAGCATACTTGGGCCACATGCAGAGCGAAGCAGCTAGCATTGTAAAGCAAGTACATCAGCACATGTACCTTGAGCTTAGACTGAATGTCACGTGACTTTCTCTTGGCCAAAACTTGCAGGTGACTAGAGACCTGACGAAAGACAGGATGAAGGAAAGAGGATGGGAGGAAAAAGGGATAGGAAAGGAAAAGAAGAGGGGATGTGACTAGAGAGAAGGGAGTGATAACGGAGTGGGCACCCACCTTGATGCTTGTCTGGTATTCTCGTACCCTCTTACGTGCCAGAACCTGAATGTGACTAGACACCTATTGGGCCAAATCATCCCATGAAAAGAAAACATACATTCACAGAACCATTTTGTTATTTTGAATGACCATAGTCCATTATTCATCAAGCTAACAAAGTAAATGTGAGTGAGCCAATCCTTTTTACTTAAAAATCATGTAGACGTCATAGTTTATACATACCTGCTTCCGTGTGCGCGTCTTCCCTGTTCTTAGCTTGATGTAGCGTGCTATCAGCTCATTCCGACCTAAAATTGAGAAAGTCAAAGGTTAAGAGCAGCACAGTGAAGTGATTTAGATTTATTGACAATGTGGGTTGTTGCAAATTCTGTGACAATAACAGGTATGTAAACTAGTTTTCTCATGCTCTTTCATTTGAAAAGGAGTGGCTGTGGGGAAAAAACCTTTTGAGCAAAACAATCAATATGGTTATTATTATTATTTAACATTCAAAATTTAGATTCAGTCCCAGTGATTGATTGTGCATGCACTCGACCAAAAATGCATACGGAGTTGCAGCTTTTCATAGTCCTTTTATAATTTATAACAGGGCAACTTTTTTCAAAGCTCTACCCAGTTCTGCTTGTTTTATATGTACAGTGCTTTGGTCAAGTGAGGTTGTTTTAAATGTGTCTATAAAATGAACATTGACTTGACTTATTTATCCATGACTCCACATTCAAGGGAAGATAAGGCTGAAAGATGAAAGGTTTTCTTAAATACTTCTGAATAACAAAAAACACACTGCTTCTTCTCTAACTTGACTAGCCACTAAGTTATCTCTTTGTTAAATCTTTAGGCAAACAGTGATGTAATACTTCTTTGAGTGTTCAAATCTCGAGCAATTGTGAGCAAATTCCTGGTGTTTTTTTTACCATGAACAAACTGTTAAATAGTGTTATAGCACTCCAAATCGGTCTTGGTCTCGGAATCAATACCACCACTGATAGGCTATTCTTGCACGTCATTACTCTGATTGAAAGGAAAACGCCCTTTTCGAAAAGAACGAATAACTTCAATCCATTCATCATTTGATTTGTATCCCCCGGTTACGGCCACAACCTTCCCGTTGGTCTAAGTGAGTGACACGCCCCCTGCACAGAAGAGGATGAATTTTAAGTGATATTTATGGTCTTGGTCTTTTCTCAGTCTCCCCCTGGCCTGGTCCTGACTCGGTCTCGGGGCACTCTGGTCACTCTGGTCTTGACTACATCACTACTGTTAGCAAAAAAACCTGTCAAATACCATGATGACAGCCAGTTCTTTAGAAAAAAATAAACTAACAATGATACTTGAAGTTGAATGAATCAATGTCAGACTGCCCTGCCTTGGTGTTTGACTGTGGTTCTGTAGTCGTGAATGTAGTGCTGCTCAATATTAAACCTGAATAGGCTGATTTGATTACATGATATTCAGTAGCCTCAGTACTGGACACAAAATGTTTGAGACACCATTCATCAGATTATATGATTAGTTCAGACAGATATCAGTAAAGGATGCACATCAGATTTAGGCAAATAGTTAAATCTGTGAAAGACACTGGTAATCTCATTATTTCAAAATTAATACGACTGAAGCCTGCATTGATTCTGAAAGCTGATGCTTGAAAGTGACAGATCTGTTATATGAATACCTGTGTGTGGAGGTAGGTTTTTAATGTTGAGAAGAAGGGTTTTATTTTAAAAAGAAATCTTACCTGAGTGCTTTGTTTATATCCTGCACATTTTGCAGTTAAGATCAAACACTGCATGGTTGAATTAAAAGTTGACTTAATTTAAATCATGCTGATATACATGATCTCTAATAATATAAAGTGCTCAATTAAGAAACATAAAACTACATTTGATTTTTCACAGAACACATCAGCACTCAAATGCGCTTAAGAATGATCTTGAGTGTTCTAAGATTTTGTTCTTAAATCGGGTACACACTAATCGGGATAATCGGGATGATATTGGTCCTGATTCCCCCCTTCAGACTAAAGTCAGTAAAGGTCAGTTACATCATTGTTCTAAATATTATTGTGCCAGATTTTCCTGTGGTGTGAGGTATCTTAAGACTGATTTTACCCTCCCCGATCTGCTCGGAAGATTATCCTGTCGTATAGGGGAGAACACTGAGGATGGCCGAGCACGCACTCTGTTGATTGTCACGTGGAATGGAACAATATAGCCAATCAGGAAGCAAGCTGTCTGAAGCAGGAAGCACAACAAACACAGCCATGGCAATGACAGAAAACGTAAAGCATATAGTTCGGTATATAAGTCAGAAATGGTGGACCAACTTCTTGATATGTGGCAACAACACAAGTGTTTATACAACGTGTCCTGTAGATCAAACCACAATCAAACTAACAAGGAAAAGGAGTTGGACACAAATTGTTACGGCAATGGATGTACAAGGTAGCTAACAGGTTGCCACATTTAGTTTGACCATCATAACATAACACCATCAATTCTTGCAGCTCGACGTCTGCCGTGTTTGTTTTACTCTGCGAGATTACAAGTTTTGAGAGACGAGACTGTTGGTGAATGAATCTGTTAGTGTGTGGTGTGTTGAGTTGGCCATCTCGTTGTACACGCAACACACTACTAGGACAAAACTGTGAGACCCCACACATGATCTACTGCATCCCTGTACAAGAAATTACGTTACGGACAAGATTTCTGTTTATTTTACAGTGACTGTATGATATTATCATTAAGAGAAGTGTTTCTTTAGTCAGATCGGGCATTGATTGATGGTAGATCACCAAAGTGATCTTTAGTTAATAGACTTCTAAAGTGTGGTCACTACAGACTGCTTGCTCAGCACTATTTTTCTGAACCCCCCAGCTCCAAACCAGTTTGTTTGTAAATGTTACAAGTGATGATTTATAAACATGAGCTAACATCATCATCATCATCACCATCTTTGTTTCTGGGAAGTGGTGTGATGCGGCAGGGGCTTAGGTCACATCAGGCTGAGTCACATTGGCTCCTTAGATTTACCAGAAAACAGAATTCCCCAAAATCAGCAGAAGGGGCTGAGTCAGACCCAGCAGTCTTCTCCAATTCCCTAAACAGGACACATGTGCTTTCCTGCAGTCTAATGCTACTCCACCAACAGCCAAATCAACCCATGTCCCATTAGCTGTGCTGCGTCGTATACTTTATAACAAGAGAACAAAAGGCCCCCCCCCCCCATTATAATATAATTTTGAATAATATTGAAAAGAGAGAGACAGAGTTGGACTTCATACGGGCGGCAGTGTCAAAGAAATGAAGATTAATAAACAGATACAGCAAGAAATTCCCACCAGATGATATTTACCAGAGTATCACTATATCAACCCAGGCCATCTATTAATTAAAATGATAAAAGGATAGTTTTTATTAAGACTGTTCCATAAAATTCTCATGTAATTTTCTTCATCTAAGGTGCCTTATTTGCAAGCAATATGAAATGTTGATTGAATTTAGATTCCCCCCCCCACCTATTTGTGTAATGGAAAAGAAATTTAATCAAAAATGCAAACAAATGCTCATTTCTTCACATGTAGAATCAAAAATAACCAATATTTAAAATAAAAAAAACAACAACAACAACAACTCTATAGCAGTCTAAACAGATTAGTACATATTACTTGCCCTTCCCTCAAATGTCATTAAAACAAGTAGCCTGTTTTTTTCTGTGTCACCTCTTGAGTGCAAGAGCAAGTGATCTGTCTGCTGATCATCCTTATTTGGGAAAACTCCATGACACCATCCAGGGTGACATCATGGTAGTAGCGTATGACTGAGGTCAAAGACAGCATAGAGACTGGAGCTTCATTACTATTGACCTATTGTAGCAGAAGGAAAATACTCACATGTGGATTGTGGGATTTTACTTTGAATTTAAACACAATCTATCCGTGGTCTTAGCAGTTGTTTAGAAGAATTTATACTGTTCCAACACAGTGGGTCACACCTCCATGAAAGGAGAAAAAGGCCTCAATGATAAAACAAACGTTCCCTTTCTGTAGCATCGGATCACATTTCCTGTATCCCCCACAACACACACTCACACATGAATGACACTGCTGCAAGCAGGAATGCCAGCTCACTCAGGAAGAAAAATGTTAGGAATGTTGGAAGCCAGCCAAAGACGTGAATACGGGGGAAAGAAATGGTCAACAAACATCAAAGCTCTGCACACAGGCTGCATCTTTTCCAGATATTAAAAAAGGAGACAAATACATATGCAGTTAAGTCCAAGATACCAATGAGCGTTAAGTTGTTAGTGCTCAGGAAAATCAACAATGGAACAACTTCATATGCTCACCTCAACCTGACCTGATATATCCTTTGACTGCATCAGTGCTGGCTGCCCTTTGACCTCGCAGCGAAAAAGCCCTCTCCCAAAATACATGCAAGCAAATCAGCTGGACACAAACTAAGAGGTCTTCACAAAACTGATCAATAACCAACTAGGCTCCAAAGTTTGCGTTGAACTGTCAGAAAGTGTCACTGTATTGCTTGTAGACTCAGGACTAACACAGGTTTAACAACTATAATTCAAAAAAGTAAACTGAAGCATTTATCCAGAATTGAAACTAAATACACCATGTTCATGTAGACACAATGTTTAGTTTACAATTGAAAGTATCTTAGCGTACTATAGATTACCTAATGATACTGCTGGAATGATTGATATGTATAGTTATTCAAAAGAGAGCCAGACATCACAATAAAAAAAGCTTCATGCTGTAAACCTGGTTATTCCTGCAAGCTCAAGGCTTCACTTCTAAACAAGGGCTTTAGATTATCATAATCTAAATATACTAATGGAAGGAAATGGTGGATAGGGTGGATGAAAATCCTTATGTTGGGACAGAAATCTTCTCTTCCTCACCGTACATCTTCCCCTCATCTGAAAGTATGATCTTCCTCCTGCCGCAGGGAGGATAGATGGCCAGAGCTTCTTGAAAGCTCTGCTCAATGTCTGGACTCCACACTCCCTCTGGGTCCCCGTCCAATCCACGGTCCGGTCCATCTCCCATCGCTTCTCCATCGCCACTATCCTCCTGCGCCCCATCAGGGCTGCCACGGCAACTCCACTCCGAAGCAATGATGACGGCTCCTGCCACAACACACCTGGAGTACACAGGACAAGACAACTTTAAGAAAATCACAACACCCTCACCTCTTGGGTAGTCTTGCTAGTCAATATGTCAGTTCTGACACATCATGCAGTGTACAACGAGAACACAGGCAGATATTTGATTTAAAAAAAACAGTGAACGTGCTTTAAGGACTAGAGAAGTGAACTCTGATGATCAGGATAGAGCTGTAAACATTGGTTAAACACTAGGCCCTAAAGATAGAAAGCAACACAAATCCAATTGCTAGACTTAAGTCGCATTTAAAAATTCCTTTGACTGGTTACTGCTACTTGTAGTATACAAATCATTAATCATCAAGGTAACATCTATCCAAGGCAAGGCCTGAACTCAGTTTTTCTTCCACATTATAAAAGCATTAAAACGAAATGCGCACCACAATGTGGAGGCAGATTGGAGTATTTGTTTTTACAGCTGATTAACTTAGACGAAAAGGTGCCACAATCAGCGGTGTTTAAGAAATAAATGCAACAACTGCTATAGAATCATAAATTAAAGCAACAATCTAAAAACGCTTACCAGCAAGGGTGTAGTTGTGTGCAATAAAGAAAAGGCCAGGGCCTGACATCCATTTTTCTGGCGATTTTACACTTTGAAGGGGAAAGTAATTCAGAGCTAAACCATTTAGTTTTTTACCTTTTAATAAAGGTCTGATTTCATTTCTCCAAATTACTAGCAGAGTCTTTGTTTATATAGTCATAGTTACATTGTATAGCTAAGTCTGTGTGCAATTATCAAACATCAACAATAGAGAAAACTATTGTTAGATTTTGAAAATAGCATTAATAATCATTTGTTGCAGCCATTGGCTTTAGATGAGGGTCAGATTTTCCAGAATATTACTGAATCCATCTGCTTTCCTTAGCATGTACATGCTTATGAACGCAAGACAAATTTTGCGTGCCTTTTATTTATGACACCCAACAACAGGCATGCCAAGGAAATACAAATCTGGCACATTATGAAGGAGGGACAGGACAGAGACTAACTCTGGGCCTGCTGAGGAAGGTGGCAGATTTCTTAAACTCAAAATGTCTCCACACTTCACCAAGAGCGGGATCAGATTCATCTGAAGTTGTTTTCGGTTTCCTCTGGTACAGGGGGTATTTATAGCCAAGGGTATTCAGGGTTAAAGACCTGACAAGAAAGATGTCAAAATATTAAGAGCTTGTAAATCTATAACTGATCAAGGTCACCAAAGAAACTACCAGCTGGTTTTGCTGTTTGGCTTACACTAGTGCATGAAAGATGGTTTCAGACAGTTGACCACTGTCAGTAATGTTGAGACCAGTTAGTAAGTCCTGTATGTTACTCATCCAAGAGAAACTAGTTAAATGGTTAAACTTGAGCCATATGTAGTTCCCAGAAACCTGCAGTTTTTTCCTGAATGAGGAAATTACAAATTCTTTTGTTATTGTTGAGGATGCTCCAAGTCTCCTCAAACACAGGCACACATATGCAACATAAAAGCTGCCTGGAGTGTAATGTTTTCCAGAGTGTGGCTAACATGGCCCCAGCCACAGAAAAACCACAGAGGATCAGTGTGGTCGCACAGCTTCCCCTGCTGTGGTGGGCTTATTGGACACACTCTGCATAGGGCCTTCCCACTCTCAATCTCTGCTGAAGGGACTGTGCTGTTGCCATAGTGATCAGACAGACCCTGGTGAGATGGTTAGGAAAGAGCAAAGCCTAAAAGAACATTTTGATATTCAAACGCAGGAGATGGAGTTAGTACTATTTTGAGAAAAAGTTAATATTCTTACGAATGTCATGAACTTCAACCCTCAGGTTCTATCGTGGGTCCTGGAGAGCAACTTGGCCTTTCACTAGTTAAGAAACACATAGTTCCAACACTTACAACTTATGTTATTTGTGTTTACCATATCAGCTAAACCTATCCTGGGCCTTTTTTAAGGTTTATGCCTGCGCCTTTTTTGGTCCCTTATTTGAGAGACAAGACAGTGGATAGAGTTGGAAACCCAGGAGAGGTAGAGAGAGTGGGGAATGACATGCGGGAAGGTAGCCACAGGTTGGATTCAAACCAAGGCTGCCTGCTTCGAGGACTACAGCCTCTTTACATTGGCCCGCTCAAACTACCGCAACCACTCGGCCACAGGCGCTCCTGCCTTGGGAACTATTGAGCCAAACATGGGTAATGCTACAAATACTAAAAAACAGAGGTTCCAAACCTAGAGGTACACTGAAGGAGTTTTGTGTTCGCTGTAGTGAATGAATAAAGTGAACAAACCTGTTTTTTTATGCAACCTTACGACAACCATTATTTACAGCACTTCACCTGAGCTGCAAAAGCTAGTTAGCATTTTTGAGCCGGAACAAATTCGGGAGACACAATGTATAGAAACTAGCTGTTCCCTTGCTATGGAAGGAAAGACTGAAAGTGGAAAGGTCTGCTAAGTATCAGGGAAGGTGATCAGGCCTCTTTGGCAGTATAAAGTTACACCTATTAAGTTATTACCATAACTTCAAGGTAGAAGTTGTGATTTTTTCTTTTCTTATTAGCAGCAGTGTTTGGCAAGTTACTGAAAATTAGTAACTAGTTACAGTTACTATTATCTGCTGTGGCAGAATAGACAGGGTGTAGGTATTTTACCGATTACTAAAAGCAACAGACTCAGCTGTTGATATGAAGCACGTTGACGACAACATACTCGTCTTTCAGTCTATAGTCCGGCTTACAGATCGTAGAGCAGCCGTTGTTTTATATCAAGCTGGCTTTTTGTATGGTGTGTATCCTAAACCATGTATGTATACTTAAAGATTATAATGTTCCATTGTATTGACTATGATAGCCAAATAAAAAAAATAAAAAAACAATACATGTATTATTTGGGTTTTGGTTTGCACTGGTTTGAAATCAACCACATTATATTGAGGTGTGTCTAATATTTTGCCCATCATGTTTAAAATGATGGTAGAAGATTTTAAGAACATTTCAATTAATTTACAGATCAAAACAACAGATCCACTAACCATGGCCTAATAATATATACATCAAATTACCTCCACCTTCATTTTACATGTTTATCAAGACTGTCACCACAGCTAAGATTTGGGAACTCGTGTTTACTTAGCCACTGTGGTCTCAGTTTTGTGATTTCCCATAGTGGTGATGCAAAGTTAGACCATTATGCACTGCAGGCAGGAGTTTCAATTTAGCTCCCAGAGGCCTTAAGGTCAGGTGTTTAGTGCAGCGAGTAGCCAGTAGAGCATTGAGCTAAATAAAGCTATGAGCTCAGCAAACACATGCACATTACAGGCTCCCTTCTGCTTCAACGGGAGCAGCACTGGCATTATAATTAACCAGGCAAGATTTCATCACAGTACTTCCCTTTGCCACATAAGATAACTACTAATTCTACTACTACTACTACTACTACTACCAATACAGAGCTTTGTGTATTTCATGAAGGTGCTTTAAGTGCTTGATTCAACTTTGTATCCTTCAGTGTCCCTCCATATACCAAATCGATAATTCACTCAGGGAAGTTGTGTCACAGACTGAATGTGATATCTGTCTTCTGTTCAACCAGTAAGACCAGTCTCACGCGTTGGTGACACTTTCACAATGAGAAGAAATGAATCCCATCTGCTAGCATGAAACGTAAAGAGGGGAAAACTAAAATCTCGGATCATCTGCTGTGAGCAGTCTAGTCAGCTGGGAGTTAGCAATCTTTGCCATTGTCCAAAGTGGACACAAACTTTATGTAACTGTGCCATGTGGGTGTTAAATCACGTTACGAAAACTTCCCAAGTGTAGGGAATGTGTTTACTTTGTTTTATTTCCGTGAGTGAACAAGACGAGCCACTTGATAACACACTGTAGCTGGCATGCTAGGTTAGCTTGAGGGCTAATAATACCCCCAACAAAATCCAAACTAAGACGGAGGGACGACAAAAAAAAGAAAAAGTAATGGTAATTACAACAGAAGACGGAGTGAATGTGAAAAAAAGAAACCATTGTTAAATACACGAAGCCCTGAATCAGCAAGCAGCCGCGGGAAAATGCAAAAAAAAAATGTCAAATATCCCAAAACTTCAAGCACACACGAAGCGAAGCAGCTGCAGCAGCATAAAAGTTGCAGCACACAACAAAGAACTATCCGGGAGCGCACTCACCTTACAATGGATCTCCTGCTTGACTCCTTCAGCCACGCTCTCCCCTCGTTACACTTTGGTTTCCACGGCAGATTTACTTTTCTCAATAGTAGGTATTTACTCGACCTAAAACAATAGTGTTTGACAGGGGAAAAAAAGGCGGAATGCCAAGTATGAGAGTTTGGTATGAAATCAACGCGCGGAGGAAAACTCTACAGAGGCGTGGCGTCGGAACACGCGCACACGCAAAAGTTTGGTGGGTCCCAAAGCAAACTCCTCCCCCCCCCCCGACATCACACTCCTTGGTAAAGAGAAAACAGGGACAGGAAAAGTGGGAGTGTTAACATATATTTGTTTTATATCCTTTATTAATCCCTGAGGGAATAGTATGGAAGCCCATTTCCGCCAGTTAAAAAAAATAAAAATGAAAATAATAAAGTCATAATAATGAGATAAAAAGTCATAATAATGAGATAAAAAGTCATAATAATGAGATAAAAAGTCAAAATTATGAGATATAAAGTCGAAATTATAAGATATAAAGTCATAATAATGAGATAAAAAGTCAAAATAATGAGATAATGAGATAAAAAGTCAAAATAATGAGATAAAAAGTTGGAATTATGAGACTTTATTATTTTTATTTTTATTTTTATTTTTACTGGCGGAAATGGGCTTCCATAGAATAGTATATATTGATCTTGAATTCAATTGATGTTGAATATTGATCTGTTAGTACGATGATAATAAGTCTTTAGGATGGATTCTGCTCCTGTATGACTTATAGTGAATGTGAAACAGGTAATTGTCACCTTCACAAAATAAGGCTACATGAACTGGCGTTGATGACTGTATAACAGTGGTCGAATAATTGTTCTGATCATTTATGTAACATAATTTAATTACGAATTTAAGTGTTAACTTCTAAACGTTATTTAGTAGGACTATCAGCAAAATGCATGCCAGTAAACACATCATTAGGCAGAATAAAAATGCCCTAATGATAGCCTTCTAGCTTGTGGTAGGCTATACTGTATGTTAAATTAATAGATATCCTCTTAATTCCTTCATTGTTAAAGTTCAGTTTTTGTTGAAATAGCACAAGTATTGTTAATGTCTTGCAAAATGCTTGACTCTGATATGCTCTATACCTCCATTTTCAAGGCAGAAATCGAGGTTCAGAATAATTTCATTTCATTTTTTTTTATTTTGAACATGTTTTAAAATAAAATAAAATATACATTACAAACAAAGCAAACAGCAATCAAAGCATACTTTCTGTAGTGGCTCGATTATTTTTCCTTAACCAGTCCATGTTCGAAAAGGGTGTAAGATGAAGTTAAATAACTTATCCAGTCCTACCCCTTTTATCTTTTTAGCTTAATAAATTAATCCAATACTAAGCTTTCAAAAATAAAGTTGAATAATACAGATAACGAAGTAACAGATATAATGTATTACACACATTAATTGGTAGCGGGTACAGACCTTACAGCTGATATTGATTCAATTTTCCCCATTGACTGCTCAATTTTATATTTGTTAAATGTGTTATTCTTGAAAATGTGTTTAAACTGTCCTAATGTTTTACATGTTTTCATTTCATCACTGCAGCTGTTCCATAAATTAACACCCTTCGTTGTAATACAGTGTAGTTTCATGTTGGTCCTTACTGCTGTTTTTTTTTTTTTACATAAATATTCCTCTGAGATTGTGTTTACTGTCCCTCTGCTGAAAAAAACTTTTGGATAATGTTCGGCATCTGATCATTTTTAACTTTGTGTGTACATGATTTACATGATCATGTAAATGTACATGATTTGAGTGGTTTTAAAGTCAACCAAGTCCTTAAGTTTCAGTGTTTTCAGTTTGATGAAGAGTGGGTAATTGCTACACACACACACACACACACACACACACACACACACACACACACACACACACACACACACACACACAACACACACACACACACACAGTGCACTGATAAAAGAGGGATTAATGGTGCTCAGGGACACTTTTTTTCCTTATCACTAGTTATTCTGGCAATGGCAAAGGTAATGTCTATTGCATGTCTCGGGTATCTGGGGACATCTATGTGTGCAAACATGCGAAAACAGTGTCTCTGCCAAAGATAGTTTATTTACAGTATGCTGCTTTAACCTTGTAGTATGAATGAATGACTTACTACAAACCCTAAAGCAATGCACTACACTTATAAACACGGAGAGTTATGTTCTGCTGGTTGCAAGTTAATGGGAAGTATAGATTTTCTTTTTTACTTTCTGTGATGAAGTCATCTATAATCATGACACACACGACTCATAGTGATGTGCTGGAACACCGGGGAAAGGGCTGTCAAAGCTAGTCAGGGACTCAAATAGACTTGTTTCAGCTGTGGTTAATGATTTACATCACCTACAGTCTCACCCTCCCCTCACATAGACAAGGTGAGAGTAATTGGAAGAAAGGCTCTACTCATGCAGCTGACATTACCAACAGTAATTCTATTGTAAAAGGAGAGATCGGCCTCTGAGAGAAAAACACGAGACGGACAAGGGGCTTAAACCCTCTTATTCTTAACAGGCCCCTTAACTTCTGACAATAAGCTTCTGTTTAAAAGTAGAGATTAAGTGCTGGCATCCGATCAGCAACTTTGCAGGGCTTCTCCTATTTTCAGCAGCTGGAGTCAGATCAATACTGATCGGTGAAGTTTAAAGCAGAACATTTCATACACCGCCCACCTTTTATTTTTATGACATGCATGTCCTATCCACATCTTCTTACATTTATTAAATGTCCAATTGATTGAATTAAATGAAAATAAATAATATATGAAAGTGGCACAATCAAACTAGCCAGGTCAAAAGTCATAGGACTTGTATGGAACAGAAGCAGAAATCTGGGCTTGTTCTTGCTTGCATACAGCCACTAGAGGGCAGTATTACCAGGGCCATGGGTATTTCAAAGGCCAAGGCATGGCACTAGTTAATGAATAAAATTCACATTTACAGCCAAAAAGCAAGCTTTTTGTCAATCAATTTGTTTAAGCTCTGTATATGTGCTCAGGACATATCAGAAGAAGCTGTTAGTTAGATTAAGATATAAAACAACAATAGTTTTACTGTATTCTAGTATGCATTTGAAATATGCAAAAACAAAACAAGATGAACTCTTGTGATGAACGTCACCATACTGATGTTTAGGTAATGTTGTATGACAGGGATGGTTTCTGTTTGGCATATGCTACACCTTCTCCCTTCCCAATTTAGCCTGCAACAACACGGGCGATCAGGTTAAATCATTTTCTGTTTGGTACATAGAAGACAAAAAGTGTAATTTTTTAATTCACTGTCAGTCAGGTCAACTCCTTTATTTTTTGTCGTTGTCCTGTTAAAATACAATAGCCTAAGTAAGGCCGTCCCTCGCAATATGTTGGAAGCAACTGAATACAAATAAAGCTACATACACAGGCTATATTGTTAAAACTTTCTGGTATCCTTTATTTGAAATTAACACAGATAATTAAAGCTGATACAGAACCTATAACAGGTATAGACAGAAATGATAAAGGTGTGTGTTGTGTAAGAATAAAGGCATGATGCACACAAAATGCATTTAAAGAAGTCAGCCACTAGATGGTGCGTCTCATCTTACAGTAAAAAAACTCTTCATGAAAGAGAATCAGAGCCAGTCCCAGTGGACTTATCTATCATGACTTGTATGTAGGGCTACTACATCTATTTGTAGGCATATGTTTGGTTTCAGTGGATTTAAAATATCAAAACTGTAATAGTTAAAGTTATAAATTGTTCAGGTGAGCCTTGATCCAGCCAAGTCTCGTTTAATCTCTGTTCTCTGTTCATGATCGAATCAGAAAAAGCAAGCCCTGCATCAATCTTTCTTATCACCAACAAATGAAAATATTCATAGGTGTAGGGCCTAAATGTTTACACTGTTAGGCCTATATGAACATAACCTGTATGTTAAATACAGACTGCCACACTAGCGCGCCTGTTGAATGCACACCATCTCTGTCACGTGAGTAAGTAGACTGTTATTTTTGTTTTATTGTACTTTTAGTTTTTTTTACTTTGGCATTTAAGTAACTCTAACACATTTTAAACTTTGTATTCCAGTTGAGATAAAAAAATAAAAAAAACCCCTGATAAAATTATTTAAAAACACAAGTTAAAAGCGTTTATGCTAGGGGTTAGCTAACAGTTATTGGCTTTAAGCTAGTAGTTTAAAACCATATTCTATAAATGTTATAATAAACAGTGCAGGACATTTAGACACTTACAGGTGTGACTGAACTCTGAAATCAAATGTGCACCAGCTGTTTACATATTATGAAACCACTTTTTTTTTTCTTTTTTTTTAATATAGGAATTAGTGAGTTAAAAAAAAGGATAATTTATCAAGTGCTTGACACAATTTCTGAACAAAAACTGCAAAATGTCTTACAGTGTGTCTTCATTGTTCTCAAGAAATCATAATTGAAACATATTTTGGTAATCTGCAGTTTATTAATAACTCAATGGAAATACTACTGTGGCCTGTTTTGTTGTCGTAAATCAGATTACTGTTATTTTTTATCCACTGAGCATACATTTCTTGGGTTATTTTATCCCCTGTTACTTTACCATTCTTTCACAAAATGTAGCTCATAAACTGGCCCTGATTACCTTTATTATTCATTCAGAGTATTGCAATAAGGAAATACACCACTTTATTATTTAGAAGACTGGTTGAGACAGGGTGATCAAAAATGCATATCATTTACGTTATATTCAGGAAAATGGATGAAATAAAACCTTTGAGAAAAACTGAACATACAGTACTTAAAGCATGTCTTTAGTCTGTATGTTTACATGTGTAGATATGTGTAAAACCAAGGCCACCATAGCTATATGTTTATCAATGTGAAGTGTATCAAATCTCAAGAAACTGAGATGCTCATGTTATTGATACCAGGAGAAGAGTGTCCCTGTGTGAACTGGGTGTGAGCAGCAAAACACTGCTATCAGATAAGTCGTCACACTCGGTTAAAGGCAAAAATAACATTGCATCTATGTCAGAGGCATTTTTTAAACGATCCACAACATCTCCAGCAATCATAAGCTCGTGTTTGACATGACACTTTAAAACCCTTCACTGTTGCTTATTTTGAATGCTGAAGAAAGTCACTAACTTCTCTCTTCCTGTGTATTTTGGTAGGAAATGAATATGGTTGCCGTGCATTTAGAGGACGTCTGCCTCTACAACTGTACGGAACAGTCTAGCTGTGTGACTATATTTGTCCTCCTCTCTCTCTCTCTCTCTCTCTCTCTCTCTCTCTCTCTCTCTTGCAAGGGGACAGGAGCGTCAAGAGTTGGACGGCTGCCAAAAGAGGCCGGCCCGCCGTGCAGCTGAAACTTTTACAAGCCAAGCAGGAAGAGACACAGGGAGCGATCAAAGAAGAAAAGGAGCAAAAGAAAAAGTGAGAGAGACGTCTAAAGCTTTTTTTTTCCCCCCCTTTCTCCCTCTCTTTCTCCTCTCTGTGTCTGTCTGTCTCTCTGTCTTTTCTTATTCCTTTTTAAAGCCATACTGTATTTGCCCGCCTTTGGTGGCAGGGGGTAAGTGTAGGGCTGGAGGACAGGACGAGAGAGGAGGAGGAGGGGGGGGAGTGGGGGGAGAGAGACTTTGGGTTCAGAGAGTTCAGCTGAGGAGAGAAATAAATGCATAAACAACAAAGGAGACGTGACGTCAGATTTTAGGGGCTGTCCAACCTGCTGGCTGAATGTGAGCCTCCATGGAAGAACCGGATTGTTCGCACCACATGTGTGTTTGTGTGTATGTACAGTATGAATGTGTGTGTGTGTGTGTGTGTGTGTGTGTGTGTGTGTGTGTGTGTGTGTGCGTCCATTGTCCTAACTTCGAGAACAGATTCACGTGGAGTTTAAGCAGGGAAGCTGGACTTTTGTGGTCTGTTTGGTCTCCGCGGTGAGAGTTCGAAGACCGGGAGAGCCCTCAAGAAATGTGTGCTCAATAACTCAGGTATTACAGCAGCTTCGACGAGGAACTGACTTTTTCAATCCCCAAAGAAAGAACAAGCTTTGATTTTGTCTTCAAGTTTTTGATGTAAGTTTAAAAAAGAGATAAACTATTTTGTTTTGCTCTGTAAGGGTGAACATCATTCCTGTTTTTTTTTATTTGAAAATTACGTCAGCTCAGGAGTGAGCTCCGATTGGCTGGCTCGACTTGGGATACCCGCTCAAACGCCAGTGATTGGCCCCCAAGTGGGCTATAGAGAAGGTCGGCCATTTATGAACAGATGGATTTATGTTTTCTCTTCTAATGATTGAGGTCATCTAGAGGCGACAGCTCGCTGATCCAAGATCTGCATTGCTGTCCAACTGTCTTGCTGGTGTGAGAAAGCAGAGGGAGACCTGGGAAAGATGCCAATGACCGGAGGGGGGGGGGGGGTGAAAAAAAAAGTGACATTCTCTGAAATGTCCACCCTCCTCGCTCATTGATTCATTTAGCTGAAGTCTCCAAACCCCTCCCACCGAGGAGGGCAGATATCATCCCCTGATAGAGTGAGAGCATGAATTGACAGAGGGATAAAGGGCGACGCGGAGAAAAGGAGGCAGAATTGAGATGTCGAAAGAAACTTTAACCCCTTCAAGAGCGAGAGAACATAAGTCCATCAGAGTTGAGTCCAAATTGCAAGCTCGCTTTTCTGACCTACTGTAAAAAAAAAAAAATATGGTGAGACGGAACAATATGGCAGAAGTGTTTTGGATTTACTTATGTCTCTCGCAGTGTCTCAGTTGCAGGATAGTAGAAGTACGAGGTGAGAGTTTCATTTTGGATGTTACAGAATTAGTGTGGAATCAGACTGTGACACTGTTCTGTGTCACCGTGACAGTTTACACTTCTTCTCTTTTCTTTCTGTGTCTTAACTCCTTTTCTCTGACTCCTCCTCTCTCTGTTCCGCCTCTCTCGCTACAGCCTGTTCCTCCCTTCCTCTTTTCTATGTCTCTACACTCCCCTGATGCCCCCCCCCCCTCCCTTTTCCTCCCCTTCCCTCTTGGCAGCAGTGCCAAAGTGGGCAGGCAGACCGAGGCAAACACAGCACAGGGCAGAGCAGAGGGCGATCCAAAGGCTGGCGAATTGATTATATGTGTGCTCGTGTTTTAAAGTGTCCTCTCTCTGCGTGTCTCTGTGGTTTTTTTTTTTTTTTTTTTTTTTTTTGTCATACGCATCTGCAAGTAATGTGAGTCTGTTCTGAGTCTGTTGTGTAGCTCTTCTCGTTTCTGCTGTGCACAGTGTGTTTCATATCTCGGCTTGTGTGCATCCTGTAGGGCTGAGTGTGAGCAGACGTCCCTCTGTCACCCCTGTGTGCCGACAGACGCACTCACGCCAGTAGGAGGGGATTGTGGGAAAGGGGTGTAGCACTCAGAGGGTGTGCTCTACTCCTCTCTTTTCCCTTCTTCCCGCCATCACGGCCCTCTTCTCCTCCAGTCCTCCGGCCCAGCCCGCCGCTCATGTTCAAGCTCCAGGTATTTTTCTTTTTTATCCTGCGACACCTCTTCCAAGTCGTTTTCACTGCCCTATAATCTTTCTCCTCGGGTTCCTCTCGCCCTCTTCCTCTGTCCTCCATCATGGTCTTCATCCTGTAAATGTGTCTATCGTCGTTTGTTGCCACGCTGCACTCCGCTCGCCGCCATTTTGGCTCAATAGATATAGCAGGAGAAACTTTTCTCCAGCTTTGAGGGACTCCTCGAATCCCTGCTGACCATCTCCTTTCTCTTGCCTCCAGTAACTCTTTTTTTTCTCTGTCTCTGTCGCCCTCTTCCTCTCCCCGTCTCTGCTTCAGGACAGCAGGGTCTGACAGGGTGGTGAACAGTCTTTCTGTGGCATTTTGTTTTGAACAGGTGTCTTTTTGTAGGCTTGCAGGAGGAACGAAAGGCCTTCAAGGCTTCTTTCTGACCTCAGAGGGTCGACAGAGCCAGAGAGCTGGCTGTTGTGTCGAGGTCAGTGCCAGTTTTGCTTCCGAACAGTGTCGAAGAGCTGCTTAAACCAGACACGAGAGACAGTCCGGTTCTGTTATCACGCATTATAGCTAATAAAAGGGCAATGTTGTTTGCTCCTCCTTCCCCTTTCGTCGAATGTTTGCACTTTGTGCCCCTGTAAGAGCACAGATAGGCGGCTGTTGTTTCACACGATCAAGCGTGTCAGTGTGTGTGTGATCAATGATCAAGAGGTGTGACAGGTCGTTAAAGGTGCAATTCTGCGGTTTTTTGTCTTGTCACACCATGCCAAAGGCTAGGGTGAATATGATACTTTGCACTTCAGAGGAAACTGATGCAGAAATGAAACTGAGGTCAGGTCAGGTGATGTAAAGAAAACGGGCAGATTGCACAGCACGAATCACAATTGTTTTCCCGTGCTCTACAGTAGTTCTATGTCATTTCAAAAAGGGAAAAAAAATATTTAAACATAAACAGACGTGTTTGTCTGATTAAAGTCGATCTTACTCTGCTGCAAGTAAACAAGCATACTATTCATTTAAAGGGCATTTTGTCATTACGATCTCATTCCAGTCGCCAGAATTCCATCAAACAGATATAAAAAATAAACGAGATAAAACAGGATGTGATAACTGGTTCAGACCCCATTTCATATTACTTCTAAAACTAACGATTAATTTGATGAGCTATACGCACATTGATTATTGAGTAAGAAATCAGTCTGGGCTGCTAATTTTTATATTGATCTAAATACAGGTCGGTGTTAAGATGGCGCCTTCGTGCCACGTGTTTAAAAAAGCAGTGTGGAAGGGCAGACCCTTTCAACATACCCCTCACAGTTTGTAGGTGTACTCTCTGCATCAGCATCTGTCTTTCCAGTTGCTCTGCAGTCACATTCAAGGGCTTCTAATTTAAAAAGAAAAAAGAAGCGAAAGAACCTTACTTTAAGTATATTGTCATGCAACACTAATGAGGACAGAAATATTAAGAAAGAAGCCGTAGAAAACGAGAGAGAACAAGGGTTACAGAGACAGAAAGAGAGATAGGAGTGGGAGAGCTCTTTTCCCCGCCCCTCTCTTATCCTCAGATGAACTTATCGTGTTGCCTCATAATGTTTCTGAGTTTTTCTCCTAGAGGCAGTCATGCTAACTTCCTGCATACAGCCTCAACAGAGCTGATTGGCTGATATCTTGGCTGACCGGCCGCGGTTTGCAGCGAGGCAACAGGAAGTTTCTCCTCTCATGCAGGAAGCAGCAGCTGCTCTGTCCTGACAGACAGCACTTTGCACTCCTGCACGCACACTCTGTTTGTGTATCTGCATGTGTGTGTGCATGTGCTCGTTTGTGTACAGCCCCGCGCTGTGTGGCACAAGTGAACGCTGTAACATGTGGGCGTGTAGCAACATGCCAGGCAAGGCATCTGAGCTATCAGAAACATTCGAAACCATGGTAACCACACAGCTCATCAGCACATTAGCAAAAGCAAAGACAAGTGGAAAGGAGGAGAGGGGGGACAGAGAGAGTAAATGAAGAGGAGGACAGAAACCTTTAGTGTATTTTCCTTCATTCAGAGATTTTAGAATTTCACATGGCCTGATTTTAAATGTTCTTTTTCAGTTTAAATGCAATCTCTTGGAAAGGCAACCTACATACATATTGCTTCCATGCATTTTTGATGTTTTAAAAATCCTAAGTGATGGATATGAATCTAAAGAGAATAGTTTTTAAAAAATGGAATACGTCTGAGCTCCCTGCCACTTTTTTTTTTTAATATTGAATATTTATACTTGGGCCAACGTCTGTTTAACTTTAGGGTTAAAATGATTGTGGGCTACTGTGAGTCACACAATAGCTCCCTTATATTCCTCCCTTATCTGGGTCATGCTATCTTTTCATCAAACATGCTGCCTGACAGGTTTACCTAGCTGTAATGCCTGCGAGTCACGCATATGTATATGTGTAGCCCACTAGCTTGCACAACAGAGGAGTTCATGGTAAGCATTCTATTTAATTAAGTCTATCAGGATCAGATGGAATGAGCTCCTTTCTTGTACAGGAGGTCAGCCAACTGTTCTGTGTTGTGTCTGCGTTGGTTTTGTCTAAGCACATGCATATGGAAGTGTGTTTCTGTATACATGCATAAGTGTTCGCATGAGCCTTGTGTGTTTGCGCTTGGTTAATGAGGATATACAGAACATCAGAGCGGGCACCTTGCCAAGTGGGCACGGAAGAGGCTCAGCGCACCCGTCCTTCGTCCTTTAATGTTGGAATCAGACATTCCTCAGGGAGTGGGGAGGATGAAAAAAGCAGCAGGTACGATAAAATCGCTCTTGCTCTCCGTTGAGGATCAGTCCTCTTTTTTTTTTGTATCTTCCAGATGCCCGGGCACACATTTTCTCTAGATTAAGACAGGACACGTGTAAGGCAAGACATCCGTTTGCCTCTTTTTAACTGTGGGAATTCTGCATTCTGCCGTTTATTGTGTGGCATACTTCCCCTGCCAACTCCAGGTCCCCCACCGCTCCTCCTCCTTGCCCACCATCACCACCTCCTTCCTCCCTCATTGAAATTCTTCCTGGCACACAGACACTGCCCATTCTTGGCACAAAGCTCAGGGGGAGAGAGAGAGAGAGAGAGAGAGAGAAGGAGAAACACACAAGAACCTGTACCATTTGTCTGGTGCCCCGTACGTTGTGTCTGCCAAGCATTCATCCTGTCTCGCGGACCAAGGGACCAGGAAATCCAATAGGTATTTCCCTGCCTCTGCTTCCTGTGAAAATCTGATCCAATTCTGAGGAGTTTTGTTGGCAACTGAGTGTGCTGTGTGTGTGTTTTGGGGATTTGCTGATTAATTTCTGCGTTTTATGTTGTTTGTGAAAAAAATTCAGGCGAATCCTGTGTCCTTTAGCAACAAAGAAAATGAAGCTTAGGGTTGCATTGTTTTCATGATAGTCTTGCACTGGTTTTGATTTGTGAAAGATGGCGCGTTTTGGTCATTTTGTTGAGTTTTGCAGGTCAGTGTGACAAAGTGGTAAAAATATTTTGCGTAAACAAAGCTTATTGACCTTTTGTTCTTTGAATTACATCCACAAAAATGAACAATAGGTTAAATAATTGATAGGTAACAGGCTCTATTGTTGTGGCACTTCTATAAAAATGAATTCATTTAAACTAATTGTTACCTTGAATGTGACATGTGCTCTATACCTGCTGTTTATGAAGATATGTTCCACACTTATTGAAAGGGATAAAATACAAGTGTGACAGTACAACTGGCGTAGGGCTATGGAAAACCTTAAAAAAACATGTGCAACCTTCACTCAAAGGAAGATTAACACACTTAAACAGGAAATTGTTTCCAGAAAAACATATCCTGACTGTGCACTGCATAGCAGCGTGAACAGAGGGCAACAGAGGACAAGGTCTGTCTCGTGGCTTATTTTTAGTATCCTGTTTTATTATTTTTTTCAGATTTATTTTGGGGCATTTTCTGACTTTATAGAGAGACAGGGCAGTGGATAGAGTTGGAAATTGGTGAGAGAGAGTTTGGAATGACATGCGGGAAAGGAGACACAGGTCAGATTCAAACCCAGGCCGCCTGACTCGAGGACTACAGCCTCTGTACGTGAGGCGCATTATCTAACCACTAACCCACCGGCGCCCCTTGTATGCTATTAATATGAATTTACTGCCATACAAGTATAGTCCACATGTGACAGATTCACAGACAGGGATTGTGAGGAGCTAAAAAGATTGTTTGTTGTTTGTCATCTTTTCACAAGGGCCTCTGATTAATTTGGAAGTTGTTGAAAATGAAAATGATTGGACCCAGCCGTGCCAAGGGGTGGCCCTTTTAGTCGCTATCGCCCAACTCCATAATCACAGACAACAGCCCCCAATAGAGCTCACATAACTGATCATGTTCGGTCTTGGCGTTTTTGAAACATAACAGCAGAGTCCTCCTCATAAGCAATTCAATGTTTCAAGCTTTTCTTTTTTTTTTTTTGTCATGGCGGGCCAGGCGCAGATTTCCTGTTAAATCTTTATCAATTTGACCCGATTCCCTCAGTAAACTGTGTCATATCGCTTTAAGTCTGCTCCCCTTGCCCTCTAGTCAGTAAACGTTTCTTGGCGACCAAACAGAGCTTGTGGATCTGTCACTGGCACAGAGGAAGAGTCGGGCGTCATGCCAACACCCCCCCCCCCCCCACCCCCCATGTCTGTCTGTCTGGTGTTCAGTAATCAGACTAGCGGGGTCTACTGCATGCTAACTATAGGCCGGTCTGAACCAAGTCTCTGGGGATGAGGCTGTATTCTAATTTATGCAAGCAGTTCAACTCCTAACCCTGTGTATCTGAGGCCCGGGTATGGTATTCAGTCTGGTTCTCGTTAACCCTTCGACTGCTGCCATGTTGACCTGCTGGCACGTCCCAATTTTTTTTTAACGCAAGAGTTTGGAGGGGAAAAAAAGCATCGAAAACAAACAATTCTGTTTTGCCCTGAAATAAAAAGTGCAATGTTAAATGATTAAACTTTAAGCCCAAGCTTTTAATAGAGCAAGACAATCACAGGAATGTAAAAATGCTGAAGGGATGGATCTTTGTCTCGGTGAACTTTCGGCTGTCCGATATCCATTGTGAGTGCTATCTCACTTGTACTCGTGACAGTTCGTGAGTAGTCTGGGTCTGTTGGCTTCATCTCTGCTCTTGGCACAGGATTGATTCTCCATACCTCACAATGGAGCACACGGAATCCTGGAAAAGTAAGACCTGGGAAAGAAAACACTAAAAGGTAGACCCTATAGTGCTTTAGGCAGACCTAAAATGGCGGATGTACGAGACGCCATTTTGTGTTTCCTTGTTGTGTTTTGGGGGGCAGAATACCAGCCTTGTATTCAATCAGAGGCAGCTGGTTGAAGCCATATTTGCAGGCATCTGTGTGTGTACCTCCGTCTGAGAAGCAGCAGCCAGCCTACACAGGAATAGCCCACTGGAATGAGCTCAGATTTTGGCAAAAACGGAAACGAATTCCTGGCACAGAGTCGAGCAGCTCTTTTTTTTTTTTTTTCTCCCCTCTTTCGATCACATGCCAGAGTCTCAGGAAGCCAGTGAGTTGTTTGTTGGGCTTTCACACATTAGCGCTCTCACTTTCCAATGTCTGCTTACCGTTAAATTATTTGTCTTTGATTTTTTTCTTCTTCTTCATGGAACAGGTTTTAGAAAGACATTCAGCGCCGCACCAAAAAAAAAAAAAAAAAAAAAAAGCTTGGTTGATCGGTGAGGATGTGCCAATATGCAAAATCTCCTCTATTGTTAAGAAATGATACATTTTCTCAAAATCTTGGCAGTAAAGGACGAGCGGCTTTTGAGACATAAGTCGTGATTTTGAACCATTTCCAGGAACGAAAATCAAAGAATATGACACAGACTTAGCCGAGAAGTACGAACACACTCCTTTTTTTTCTGGGATTGAATTGAAACACGATATATATATATATATAAATACAACACAAGGATAAACATCAAAATGTACAGTCCTACCCAGTTTATCTTGCCTGTATTTCACAGAATCAAATATCTAATTAAGATAACCCTCTCTGTCTCTTTCTTTGTACCGTTACAGGAGCGTTACCTTTGTGGATCTTTGGTGCTGAAGCAACGTGGATGCTGTCCTTGGGGCTGAGGTAGTAGATTGAATAGTTGTGGGGTTGTGTAACCTCTTTGAGATAACTATACAATCTACTGTCTTTCCCAAGGAGACAGCAAAGTCAGCTGCTCGCCGACTGTCGTCTCCAATCAGGCAACATGCTGTCCAATCAAAACATACGCTTGCAGCCATCAACATAATCCGCTCTGACAAGAATTGTTGTTTGTTCTTTTTTCAATTCTAGAGCAGCGAAATAAGGACGTCTTGTTCACCAAATGGATGTGAACGTGTGGCGTGTTTGTTTTGGGCTCTCTCAGGGTGAGGTAGTAGGTTGTATAGTTTGGTGGGTGGGATAGCAACCTGCTCAGGTGATAACTATACAGTCTATTGCCTTCCCGGAGGAGCTCACTGAACACTCATGAATGTTCGACACGCTCTCATGGCCGGGTTTCACCTTTAATCGTAGAAGCAGAAATGTAGTAATGCATTTAAAATGTGGACATCCGAATAAAGTCACACTTGTCTCAAATTTGTCCAACAATAAATGACTGACATCTGAAATTGTTGCTCTCCTAATGTCATTTTGTCATCTTGGTTTGTGTACAACAGCAGCTAATAAGTTGTTAGTTTAGAGCACCCTCTAATGGAGACTCATGATACAGCTTTGATTAGATGAAGTTTGCAGACAAGGGACAACTAAATGCAATGGCGGACTAAATTTAAAGTATTTAAAGTTAAAGTTTCATTCAAACAGAACACTGCAATTTGGAGTCTGACATTTTAAAAAACTCCGCTGCCTATATTCTTCTCAGCTGGTCATTTGTAATAAAGACTTTTTAACACAGTTATATCTATGTTTTCTGTTGTTTCTTTAAAAAAAAAAAAAAAACTCTTTATAAAAACAAGTCCCATGAACTCAACCACATTGGACTTAAAATAACACTTTCGTCCTTTGTTGTTAGCTCTGCTCTCTCGATGCACACGTCTCCGTGTGATTGGCCTGGCTGCTTGTTCTTGGTCGACAAACCTGTTTATCCCCATTTAAACTGTTTATGTTCACAAGGAAGTGCCTCCATATTTGATTGTAGGCCTGCTGGATCTTTGGGATGCGATAGGCGTAGACCACAGGGTTGACTGCTGAGTTGGCATGAGATAGGAGAATACCTGGGAAATGCATTCGCTAATTAGTTCTCATGATAACTGTTGGTGAGTATTTTTGATCCATTAGTGCATGATACATGAAGAAAACACTTGCAAACACATGTGAAAGAGGAAAAGACCTGCCTGCATAGAGTGTCTCCTGTGTCACAGCTTGAGGACCTTGAAACAGCAGCAGACAGTTCATCAGGTGCAGAGGAATCCAGCAGACAGCAAACAAAATGAGAACCAGAGCCAGCGAGCAGGCTAGCCTCTTCTCCCTGAGCAGAGAGGCCTGAGCCTGGGCACAGCTCTCCTTAAGACGGCCCTGCAGACTCCAGAAGATTCGAGTGTAGAGGAGGGTCATGACCAGCAGGGGTGCCATTACACATCCCAGGAAGTTAAAGTAGACCATAAAGGGGAGGGAGATTACTGAGAGGAAGTTGCAGGGAGGAGAAGAGAGGGAAGAGGAATTGGTGGAGCCAGGTGCTTTGGAGGAGGAGTTGTTCCAGCCAAACAGAGGGGTGAATCCCAGGAGACAGGAAAGAGTCCAACACAGAGAAACTGCAATCCATGTATGCTTCTGCGTAGCCAAGGCTTTGTATCTACAAATCATGAGGGAAGCATGTTAGACAGCAAAGCTCCTCTACCTGTGGACGCAGCGTTTCAGTATGTGTGCCTCACCTGAGCGGGGTGTGAAGGCGTAGGTATCTGTCCACAGCGATAGCAAGCAGTGAGAGCACCGAGGCCTGAGTCAGCACGAGCACGACGCAGCTGAGTAGTAGGCAGAGGTCAGGGGTCAGGCTCACCCAGCCGTCCAATAGCACAGCCAGGGGCACAGCGGCCACGCCCACAAGCAGGTCAGCTACCGCAAGGGACACCAGGAAGCAAAAAGTTGGCTCGTGGAGGAAATCCCTGATGCCAACACACACCGCACACACCACCAACACATTGCCAAGGCAACAGGTCACAGCAATCAGCACTTCGAGTACCGTGTAGACCACCCAGCTCCATTCAGCCATCACTGAAGACCAGTGAAGACGGAGACGCTTTTAAGTTTGATGAAGCAGGTTTCTTTGCAGGTAGGATGAATTCCACAGCAGTCCAACATAATCTTGGGTTTGCTGTTGAGATATTGTTCCTGCCTCCAGCTCTTGGCTTTATACATCCCAAAAAAAGAATTGAACAGATGCTTTTTATATGCAAACACGCACGCGCGTCTCTGTGCACACGCACACAACAACAGGCGTGCACTCCACTGAGAGAGGCCATCTGTATTGAATCAGGGAGTGAAAATCCTCTCCTCACTGATGAATGTGCCTCAGTGCGCTTAGAGGAGTGGTCTCTTCTGATTGAGCAATGTCACATTTTAATGTGATATAATAATACAGCTTGATGTACTCAAAATATTAAAATGACCCCTTTAAGAATATTAGATTTTCATATGTATGGTATCACTACTGCATGTGTTTGAAAGTAGAATTTGAATGTTTTAACTTTACAAAGTCATTCGAACTACTTTATACTGTATGCTTTGTGTCGTTTTAATTGTCCTATTGCGTCACATTTTAGAAGTTGATCATGTTTTATATGTGATATCTAAATCCGCGAATCATCTAGCAAGTTTATGAAACAAGTTACAAATGTGTTTGGAATAAAGTAGAATAAAAAATACTCAAAATCAAACATAAATAATTGAGTAAATGTAGAGAATTGCCTGTTACTGTGTTTTATTTAAAACTGTAAAAGTTTGTGACAAGACGCAGAAACAAATATCTAAAGTAAAGACTCTCCTGCAGAGTCAAGAATGATAGTCCATATATGCGCTGGATATTATATCTGGATGTCATTTGTTTTCAGTATGTGTCTGTGACCTCGAGATTTGCCTATGAAAATGAAATTGTTTCACCATAGCAACTACATAGCACAAGGTAACAGTCAACACCATCAATATGTTTTTGCGAGGGCACTTCTGTCCTGTGTCAGTGGACTTTGTAGATGGTAATGATTAACAGATCTGTTTTTTTAATGGCGGTTTTTTTAATGCATGCTTACTTTGCATACAATTTTGGCTACGAGTGGATTTTTGTGTGTCTGCGAGGTGTCTGTTTACACTGGTGTGTAAGCACATCTGTGTTTGATTAGGTGATAAGAGCAGCACATTACTTTGTTCAAATAAATATGGACAGAGAGTTAGAGAGATGTATTTTTATCTTCAAAAAGACATGTCAACACATAAAAGTAAAAGAAAATCTGTTGAAAATCTGCAAAACAAAATCACATCTAACAGAAAAGCACAACTTACATTTTTTTTTAGAATGATTTAAGTTCTACTTATAAAGTAGATATGAGTGATAACCTTTAAGATTTACATACTTTTAATGCCAGCATCCCAAACAAAGATTTCCAGTTCACTATTATACCACCTTGAATGTGGTCTTATTGGAGAGAAACCTCTAATTTACATTTTTCATACACTACTGTAACAAATACTCAGTATTCACATATTTATATCATATCTCATATCTGCATGCCATATAAATACAATAAGCAGGAAGGAGATTCATCCCCCAACCCATGGTGTTCCCTGAATAGCCGTTTGGCTTATTTTATTCCTATTCTTTTTTTACACCTCCTTTATGCTTCCTATACCATATTAGAGTTTCCTTGTAGCCCCCTCAGCGTCTTGTCATCAAACCGGTAGGTGAGCTTTTTCTTCACCTTCTGAATCTCGCCAGTGCGAGAGTAGTTCCTCAGCGCCCGGGCCATCTTCTGGTAGGTCATGGGCTTGCGATTGCCCTTTCTTCGTCCCCACAGCTGAGCCAGGCGCTCCTTGTTTTGGGAGGAGAACTGAAATGTGCCGGCAGAGGACTGGACCCACCAGATGCAGCTCCGCATTGATGGCGTCTGGAGCATTTCGAATAGAAACTGGAACAACCGCTCCTTCCTCTTTCCTGCAAAGGAGTAAGGGGATGTAAAACTGATATGAGGTCGCAATGACTCATACTATGTGCGTATGTGGGAACTTGCATGTTGTTGCCCCAGTAGAAATCATGATATTTATTATCTTTATACACACAAGGGTTTGCGGTGTTGATATGTTGGAAGTTCTACAGTGTTAAAAGACTTAGGCTAAGGTGTGTGTGTGAGTGCATGGGTATATATGGAGTGTGGGTGGTGCTGTGTGCGTACCTGAAAGGGGGGCAAGATTCATGGAGTCCTTCCTTGCTCCCCTGTCAGAGGAAGGTGATGATGAATCTTGGTAGTCCTGGTACTGGGAGCAACTGGACTGTGAGTCTGAGTCAATGTATGCCGGGACCTCGTAAGAATACACCTGATCATTAAATAAAACAAGACAATTATTTAGCTTTTTCATGAATGAAGAAAAGAGTCAATACAAGTCAAATTCCAAAATGTCTCACACAGTAGTGTGTTGTTACAGTACATTAAGCTATGATCGATGTCAAAAGCTCCAATTCAGTGAAAGGTTGAGGTTCTTGAACTCACCCACTGGTTTTCATGGGGACTAGTCCAGACTGGGGCCAGGACTCGATCTTCATATTCTTCATTTGGGGTATGAGAGCCACAGTCCCACTCATAGGGATGCTGACCTGACCAGCTATTCTCTATATAAAGTCAGGCAAAAGATACAGTAAATTAAAGAGATACACACATAAAAAAATAACAATACAAACAAAAAAAAAAATTAATCTGTCCTTTGTCATTTCTGCCAAAAACCTCACTAACCTATGATCCTGAGGCCCTGGTGGGGGTAGGAGTGTGTTGGTTGCCCCATGGTGTTCTGAGGCGATGCAGCTGTGTGAACACGCTGGACCTCCTGTGAGTGCTCCTGTAGGTACTCCTCGATGACCTCCAGGTCCACCTCTGAGCAGGAGGAAGGAGCTCCTCCGCTCCAGGCGACACGCTCTCCGCTCAGCCTCTCGGCCATGTAAGCCATCTGAGAAACACAGAGGAGAACGCCAGCTTTCAGAAGCAATACCCATGTGAGTTTGAAGTGTGATGAGTGACATGTGTCCTCTTTCCTGTGTCAGTCATAGCCTAAGGTTTATGACCACCTGCTGTTTTTTTCCCCTCATGATAACCCATTATTGTTCCACCTGGGATGCACTTTTGTGCGCATAGGTCTTAATATGAGAGTGGCACTGATTCAGAAATGTTCCATGAGCTTTGAATCGTCTCTGAAATTTTGCATGTGAGCAGCAGTGATTTCTCTTAAAATAAGATTACATTTTTCGATCACAAGTAAAACATTAAATAAATGACACACACACTCACAAACATACACACACACACACACACACACTTATGGCGCTCATATTCAGCTGTGAACTGTCTGATACTGAACGTGATGTGTGTGCTGTGTTTGTGTTTTTGAAAATGAGTCCACACTGTGACAGTGTCTTTTAGTTTGACTGGCAAATTTATGCAAGTGCTTGTGCACTCAGCAGCAAAGGTAACATTCAGGTAACAGTGATGTGTGGCTGAGCTGCTATTCTTATTCATGACCTTTTACGATTAGGCGACACAAACAAGTTACAGTGCAAAAAGATTATTAAAGCAAACTGTGACTGAAATATGTAATTATTTTAAAAATGTAAACTTTCTTTATCATTAACATGCTGAATACAAATAGACAAAATACGTTAAAATAACATCAGACTCACCGTCTCCATCTCTTCCATCATATTTAATTTAAAGAACAATCTGGAAAGAAAAAACACTCGTGTGAGACACCAGAATCAAGGCTTAACACTCACATAATGAACAGAGAAGTGAAAAGACTCTGACACACATACTTCTCTAACTTATTACAGTCGGATATGGAGTCATGTGACAACTCAAAGCAAACACACAAAGTGAGAAGTTCATTGATTGAGCTCTAGAAAGCAGATTTCTGTACCTTGTTTAGTCGGCGGTGTGTACTCCTGTTTCTGGTCCAGTGAAGTGTTATCATCAGGCAGGTGGAGATATGAGAATGTGAAAGCTCACCTGCATGATGATGCTCCACCTGGATAGCACCTCTCTTATAGTCTTTGTACACTTTTGGCCAGCCCACTTTGGCCGTGAGACAAGTTAGAGTGGGAGTGGTTTTTACTAAAAATCTTCTTGACAGAGGGTTTGTCTATTCCATATAACAGCTCCAATATGGAGTTAAAGGTTTTATTCCATGGAATCAAAACTTGTCTGTGGTTTCTTATCGTTTTCTCTTCTGCAGCAGGGGAAGATTATGAAGTAATTTTTTTTTTTTTTTTCGCTTTGGCTTCACGTTGAAAGTGGATTCAAACATGCCACAGTGTTGCAGACAGAACAATACAGTGATAATTAAAACCGGGAGATGGAGAAGATGGAGCAGAAAGGGAACGTATAGGATAATTGGGATAACTGCCCCTGTGTTGTAATGAAAGATGGATGGTTACATTTGGAATGCATATTAATCAAAAATCCTACACATTTTTCCATCACATTTGTATGCATCTTACAATCCATTTAAATGCATGTTAACACCACTCTCAAGTTGTTTTGTTTCAAATTGGTATGTATGACCTAAAAGTGAGAATTCCTTTAATTTTGAAGTTGGCTAAATTTCCTATTACTTGATAGGAAAGAGTTCTTCAAGACCAAACAGGGACCATGTTTCTTACACGTTAATTTTTTCCTTTTTTTTTTTTTTAGCTTGTTTTTTTTTTGGGCCACAGGAAATGCTGGGAGAAGAGAGAGGGATATGACATGCAGCAAAGGGCTGGGGTTGGATTCAAACCCATGGCTGCTGTGACGAGGACTATAGACGTCATGGTGCACAAGGTATAACCGCTAAGCTATTTGACGCCCTCTTATATGGACCTTTAAATTTAAGTTGGTACCAACCCACTAATTTATGCTCTATGAACAGTATATAAACATACAATTATTTATTTGACAATACATAGTGATGCTGTTATACGTACCAGTAGATGTTAGGAACTTTTTAAGTGTGTACGTAACTGGCTGTATTTTCTGCAGCTACCATATTTCCAATGAAGTAATTTAGTATTTTAGGTAAAGGATGACTGTGTAATGGTAATTGGACAATATTGTTTTGGACAATTGCTACACTTACTGACTAGTTAGTGAATGAAATTGAAATACAGTAACCCCCGCCCCCTTAAACCTTACCAGGCTCAATATGTGAATATAACTTCTTACATTCAGAATTCTTTTAAACTTACTTTCTAATGCCACTAAATGAAAATGACGTTCTTCTTAAACCTTGGTCTGGAGGCGAACAGCCCTAAGAGCCGCATCAGAGTCCACACTAAGAACACATGACATCATTCATAGTTTACTTCGATAATGCTATTTTCTGAGTTGGATGGGGGAGGTTCCTTTTTGTGTGTAAACACAAAAAGGAACCTCCTCTAGATGAGAACATACTATTGTTAGTAAAATTATGAAAGATGAGGGTTTGAACCAGTAGTTTCCTGAAAACTGGTTCCCTGTCTTTGGGGTTTCCAAGTTAGTTTCCTGAAACAGCCCTAGGACGTGCAAATCTGCTCAGCTCTAAACCCAACTGTTCAAATATGTGCAGAGTGATGTCAGGGGAATATTGATAAATATATATTTAACCTTAAGAAATACACTGTAAAGTAAAATGTAGCAAGTACTGTCTGTTGCACATGAACCCTTGGCCAGATAAGCTGTGTCAAAATAAAAGTGCCATCAGTCCTTGACCTCCTTGGGTTGATGATATATAACGTGTTGTAAGGGAGAGGTGTATTTAAACACTGTGCTATCATCTCTACATGATCAAAAGTCAAACTGAGCTTCCAGAAATGTCATCAGTAACTTTATAACTTGGAAAGTTTTAGTGTACAAATTCATCACACTGAAATGTAACAACCGTGTACTCTGTCAATCTGTTGAGGGCCAAGGAAGGTTAATATGTCAAAGTTGTTCAGATTTGTTTCTGGACTTGAGGAAAACATGGTATGTTTTTTTTTACACATAAAAATATTCAGATATGGGCATGTACCTGTGCATTTGTCCACTCAAACGTAGTTATAAGTTAAACTGTCAGAAAAATGGATTGACACAGTGCAACAGGTGAGCACATAGTGCCGGTAATATCCCCAAGTGGGAAAGGCTTACCGTCTGGGATAATCCAGTCTTTTGAACCTCTGTCAGTGACGCAATCACAAATAGACAGAAATACAACTGACACTAACGCAGACACACACGCTAACATGCACATGAATAAACTGCCATGCACTTTAAATGTTCCTGTCTTTCTTGGATGCAAAGTTTTTTTTACCTTATTCATATATTCTCATGTGCAGCAACAAACAAGACAAACCCATACTTACATTTGATATTGGTTTGATTGGCAGTACAATCGTGCATTGATTGCTGCACTCAAATGTTTTGTTCATGCCATTTTACAGCGGTGGTTTTTCAAGTAAGTAAACGTTGAGAAACCTGTCGTGCAAGGTGGAGATTTAGCTTCCGTGAAATATCAGGAGAATTTCCCGTACTTGATGCTCATGATGTCACAGATGCTATTTAACCCTGAAGATGCTAGTTGCATGTACAACGGATGACAGAGAATCCATATGTCGCAAATCAAACTGCGGAGTGGTCATAATCTTTATGATGTTATGACACCAGTTAGTGTATCTTGTTTTTTGCTTACACAGCAAAAGTTATGGATGTAATGGCCATGAATGTAGACACAATCATCCGTTACCACACCACCAGCCACATATCATAACTCAGTTTTTATGACCTGAAGCAGTCAGCGATGCAAACAGCACAGCCACAATAGGTTTCTGTTGGATGAAACTGCATTGTGCAAAATACATATTGTTGTGGGTTTAATGCATAAATACTTAATGACTAGTAAACCTATACTTTGACATCTAACAATTTGTCTGGTCAAGCTATTAATGATCTTTACAACCATTTTTAAAATCACTTTTAGTTTACTTAGGTAACAGATCATCATGGTAATAATTATTACATTCAATACTTTTAAGGATTAATCTCTTTGAAGGTTTATGATCATCCAGGTCATGGTTGATCTAAGTTCAATCAAAAGACAGTATTGGAGACACTTGTCCTCTCGTCCATACATTTTTAAACTTATACAAACTTAAAATTGAACATTTTTAAACAAAAAAACAATTCAAGCTTTACAGTTTGAAGTGATATTGTCCACATGGCAATCTGCCTCGATGTGTGCATGATAGACTCAGGGTGTGCCGAGAGCAATGTTCATTGATTTAACGGTCAGGCAGTAAGGGGGCTTAAACTGAATTCAGACTTAAGTCCTCATTTTGAAGACATCAGTCCTCTTGTAAAGACAGCAAGTGCATTTCCTCAAGTGTTCAACTGTTCAGTTACAGTCAGAGCAAAAATCTCTCTTTAATAAAAACAATGCATTAATTCATGAAAACAGAAGTAGATGGGTTTAAATTTTGAGTTGGGGGCTTCACAAAATAGCCATTCATTGTAATGGAAGAAGTATTAGCAGCACAGTATGAATGTCAACAAAAGTTACATCAGAACCATCAGAATGACACTTAAAAGCCGCTTTATAAAAACAACTTGATAAACATGTTGCGGAAAAACCCTCATCATTCAGTGAAATGTGTGACGGTTTGGATTCCTATAACTCCCCTTGCACCTGGAGGACTGAGCCAAGGTGATAAGGACAAAGAGACATCAGACCCTTGAATTTAGAAAGACAATGAGTGCGGCAGGTGACACCTGATTACTGGTGGTTTTACGAGGATATCCAGGGGATATGCTTGTCTGAGCTGTTCTTTTGGGACTGTCTTTAAATCTTGTCAAATATAAATAAGTGAATTAGGCGAAAAATAAAAATCTAAGAATAGGCTGAAAGGATTTACAGAGGGGCAGATATTTAATAGTAAATGTGTAACAATAAAAAAAAGATAAGATCCACTACCATAAGAGTGACATGACAAATTCTGCATACTATATATAACATTATTTCAGGGCCATAATGTGTATGTGTGTGTGTGTGTGTTCGTGCACATCTGTGTGTAATAGTGACAGGGATTTAATCATTTGCCAATATAACACCTGAGTCACATGTTGTGTTTAACGGCCACAGATGCAAACAATGTTGACCATTAGAACGTGAGGTCACTGGCTTATCAACACAGGCATCAGTTGCTGATGAGTAAGGGACTGTAAGTGCGTGTGTGTGTGTGTGTGTGTGTGTGTGTGTGTGTGTGTGTGTGTGTGTGTGTGTGTGGATGTGTTAGTGTGATTGTCCAGGTGTGGTGGGTTTACAGTTACAGCCAAACCACCTAGATTAGTGAACATACGCAAATCACCTGTACACATGCAGCTTTTCGGGAATTCCCCATAACTCCTAGACTAGAAGGTGTGTATGCATGTTTGTATTTGAGTCTAGTGATAAGTGACAAAGACATAATCTCCTCCAACACAGACATGTATGCTCTGCAGCAATTAAACTTATACTATGTTAATGAAGCAGAGGTCAACTTTCCTACCATATTCATGAATCACACTACATTAGCGAACATATGGTTCAAGCACTTTTTTGTTTTGTTTTTGAATTCATTTTTCAGGTACACCTGATTATGTTTTCTATGATTTGTAATGAGTAACAGTCTCTGTTTGATGTTGACACCCATGGGCAGGCACCCGGTGCAGTCCAGGTTAGTCAGGTGAACAGTCTGGCAGGTGGGAAGACAGTTGGACACGCAGTGATGTTGGCATACAGACCATGTGTTAGAGACACTGGCAAGTATGCAAAACCTGAGGTTGACCCCCAAACATCACCGCCGCTACCACCTTTCTATCGCTCTCACACACTTTCACCTCTCACTTATTCAGAGTTAAACTGAAATGTAACCTATGCAGTCATTATTTATGCTGTTTTGTTATTTCAAAGTTCTCATTTCCTTTTCTACTTCATTACTTTTCTTTTTCATGCATGTTTAAGTTAATATTCATTTTAAATTTTGCATGACTTTCTTTA